GACATCCTCCCACAACTCATCTGGTCTTCGCTCATTAGTGTTCAAGGCCTCAAACCTGTTCCTGAGATGATTCTGAAATTCAGGTGGTATGAAATCAAAATAATATTTTGGCTCCTGTGGGTTTGGTTTAATTTTCCTCAGCTTCAGCTTGAACTTGCATATGAGTAATTGGTGGTCTGTTCCACAATCACATTACTAGTATGGTTAATTATTGCTTTGAGCAGAGAAGGGGTTTTTTGGGGGGTCATTTTTATTAAACAGAAGGTTACCCATTGGGATGACTGACAATGGTCGTCTTTACAATAGATTTACAACTAACAAGTCTAGGCCCTTTTCTGACTGTCTTTTTAAATTGATTCCTCAAACCACGCCAAAAAAAAAATGTTCAAAATGTGCATGTTAAAGTGAACTTCTAATGATCAGGTACATTTTTTAGAAACAAAACCAAAATCACAGTGAAAATTAAAATAGCATGATTTCTAGCCATCTTATTATGAGAAACAAAAATGACTGACATTATAAATTATAATGATATGGCTGTTTTTTTAATTAGTAAAATAAAAACAAAACTAATCAGAAATTCAGGGGGTGGGAAGTGTACTTCATTTAATTTTGCTGCACAATTAGTTACATATTATTTTGTTACAGTGAAAATATATGTAAAATTATACCACAATAGTCCCATACTTGTTTGTATGGACTTAAAACATGCTGGCAGAGAAATAATAGACCCCGTCTTTGAATGGATTGGACCTAATGAAAAGAAATTGACAGGTAAAGTGCTTTCTTTTTAACATCTAAATTTTTCTTAAGGTTTTAACGCTTTAAAACTCTCCGACCTACTGGAAAGTTGTTATTAGGTGCTGTTGCACTGACAATGGCTCATATCAACCCTGTGAACAACAGACTGAAACCTTCTTCTTATCTTGCTCCATTCTCACAGTCTCCACCATGCCCAGGCTTGTTGGATTGTCCTTCCTGTCCTCCCGGTTGTACTCCCTCCAAGATAGATTTGTCTGTTCTTTTGTTCTTTTCACAGGCATGAACGAACTGAATGTACTATGACTTAGCCAGGTGCTCCTTTAACCTTTCAACTGAAATCTTTGCTTTTTAGCCCTTTTAAAAGAGGTTCTTGACAACAGATTTGCTCAATTTGGAAGGAACAAATTGAAAACTAACTACAGTTTCATTTGTCTCATGTTTAGACAAATCATCATGACAAAAACAGATGCACAAATTTGTACCATCTTCCCAGAGCTGTATTAGTTTAAAGCTTTGATTAAAACCTTGGGGAGCTCTGGTGGTGTGGTAGGTAATAATTTACACTTCCAGCCCAAAGGCTGGTCATATCTACCACCCACTCTGTGAGTAAGATGGCCTGTCTTCTCTTACACAATTTACAGCCTCTGAAAACTATGAGTTAGTTCAACAGTAACTAAGTGAGTTTTTCCTTGTAGGACCAGTGGTAGAAGATGAAGCATCTAGTATGTAATTTTTTTCATTATATTAGAAAAGTATCTTTAAATAGAAACATGATTTCTTTTTTCCTTGTCTACTGTTGAGTCAGATCCAGCTTCTTGGCACAAGGCCACCAGAGATTCCCTGATTTCTTATGTAGTCTTTTTCCCTAAATTACTGGTGTAAATCATCAGTCGTATATGACAAGAAATGAATTAAAGAAAATGAATATATATTTTAAAAGTGTACTTATCTTTTCTTAAAAATGTATACTTACCTAACATGGCTTTCCATGTAGTAATATGTCAGAATTTATTGAATTCTTGATGTTAAAATCATCCATTGACCTTTATTCTTTTATAATCCTTTGTTTAGTAAATAATGTTTGATTTGTTGTATACTGAATAATCAAATAGTTTATTCTGTTTAGGAAACAGTCAAATAAATATGACTAACACAGGGAATCTAGAGGTGAAAAATTTTACACCGTCTTCATCTGGACTTTACACATGTAATTTGTCCTTTAAGTCTATCGGAGAAGAAATTCACGAAGAAAAGACGGTAACAAAAAAATATGAATTTTTACTCTTTGGTAAGAATATATACATGTTTTAGTTGGCATATTAGTTTATGTCAAAATGTATTATTTCCTCTTTTAGTGAAAATGAATATTATAAGAAGTCCTTATGACTTCTGGAGAGTTTTTGGTACACATGACTGGACAAACTTTTAAATTGATATTGTTGTTTGTTGTTGTTGTAATGTGCCATCAAGTCACCTGTGACTCATAATAACCATAAGGACAGTAGTCCTGAAACCTGCTCTATCCATTACTATTTCTCACACACCTACCTTTATTACCCCAGTCACTGAATCAGTCCATCTCATCGAGGGTCCTCCTCGCTTTCTCTGTCCCTTCACCCTTCCAAGCATGATATCCCTCTCCAAGGACTGGTCCCTGCTTGCAACATGCCCAGAGTATGTCAGATGAAGCATCAGAATCCTTGCCTCCAAGGACCAGCCTGGTTTCACCCTCTCTAGGACGAAAGTCTTTGTTCTCCTGGCAGTCCATGGTATATTCAACACTCTTCTCCAACACCACAGCTCAAAGGCATCAATTCTTTCTATCATCCCTAGTAATTGCCCAGCTCTCTGATATATAGCAAGCAGTGGCGAAGACTGTGTGACCTGGATCAGGTGCACCTTAGCCTCCAGACTGATGTTGTTGCTCTTCAGTACTCTGGAGCCTTTTGCCAATATTAAGTTTAAAAAGAACCCAGACCTGTTGCTGTTAATTCAGTTTGGTGGCCCTGTTGGACAGAATTGAACTGCCCCTAGGGTTTCCAAAGTTATAGTATTGAATGGAGCATGCTTCCACATATTTTTTCCTGTGAAGCAGCTCGCAGATTTTTTTCAGCAGCTAAATGCTTGAACACTTCATCACTATGCTTCTTGACATAAAGATAATATGTCCTAAATAGCCTTTTTCAGTCTTCTGCTTTCTCTTTTTTTAAAAAAAAATGTAAATTGTTATTTAAGTGAAAGTTTACAGAGCAGATTGGATTTTTATTCAACCCATTCATACACGTATTTTTTTTCCTTATAAAGCTATTAAATTTTTTCTCCCCTTTGCTCTGCCTTCCCTCTCTCTCAGTTCACTTTTTAAAAAATATTCATTCATTGTTGCATACATTTTTTTAAAAAAAAAACACCTTTATTACAACACCCACATTGGAACGTCAGCCTTCCACTTACTCCCTGTGATTCTCAGTTTCATTAATCCTTCTTTCTGACACATTCTTGCTTTCTGAACTTCACTCCTGGGAAAATGTTGCCCTTTTGATTTTGTGTGGTTGATTGCTGTAAGGAATGAGTACCTTCCTGGTGTTATTGTTCACCTTCTAGAGCTGTCTATTGTTGCGGTGAAAGTTGAACCACAGGTTGAGTAGTTCTCCATTCTAATGTCTAGATGTGCAAATATGATCTACCTTATCACATTTTGCCAGGTAATTAAAAAATAATGTTTAATAAAACCAGGAACATAATCTGTGGAGCCCATTCTGACTCTTGGACAGAACAGAATTGTCCCATAGGTTTTCAAGATTGTCATCTTTATGGAAGAAAACAGACGGCTACATCTTTTTCCATTGGGCCAACTGGAAAATTTGATCTGACAGTCTTACAGTTAGAAATTGAGTGCTAAGCCACCGTGCCACCAGTGTTTACTCTTGTCATTGTTAGGTGCAGTCGAGTAGTGACCCTGTGAACCACACACCTGCACCCTGTCCTATCCTGTGTCCTCCTCTTCCTCTCTGTAACACTGGAGTCCATTATTGCAGTCATTGTGTCAATCTGTCTCATTGAGTATCTTCCTCTGTTTTGCTGACCCTCCACCTCTTCAAGCATGATGTCCCTTTCCAAGGAGTAACCTCTCCAATACCCAGAGTATGTGAGACAAAGCTTCGGCATCCTTGCCTCTAAAGAGCACTCTGGCTGCACTTTTCCTAAGACATAGCTATTAGGGTTTTTTTGGCAGCCCCTGGGATATTCAGTACTCTTCTCCAGCAACCACCAGTCAAAGGCATTAATTATTTTTCTATCGTCCTTATTCACTGTCCAGCTCTCAGATGCATAGCAAGCGATTGAAAAAGACCATGGTCTGAATCGGGCGCACCTAGGTTGTCAAACTGACACCATTGCTCCTCAGTAATTTGGAGAAGTCCCTGACATGTTGATGTCTTAAATTCCATCCCTGTCAGTGTGATCTTGCTTAGAAATAAGAAGTTTCAAGATGCTATCAGTGAAGTTAGTATGAGGGCATATCTGGGTAGTTGTTATTGTTAGGTGCTATAAAATACAACTTGTAGTGACCTTATGAACAACAGATCTGAACCCTGTCCTGTCCTGTGGTATCCTCACAATCTCTGACACAGCGCATTGCTCTGTCAATCCACCTGGTTGAGGGTCTTCCTTTTCTTCACTATCCCTCCACCTTCCCAAGCATAATGTCCCTCTTCAAGGAATAGCCTCTCTTGGCAACATGCCTAAAATGTGGGTAGGATCAATCCTGATCCAGGAAGAGTGATGTCTTCATAAAAAATGGGCAAGAGAGAAATGCACAGAGGAAAGGTGATCAAGTGATGATAGAGGCAGAGTTTGTGGGAGGCAGAAGGCTAAACCAAGTGAAAATACAAATGCTGATATAATAAACTACCACCAATTGTACATATAAAAGTTCAGAATAGAAATTGGATCTACTGAATTAAAAAAATGACAGCAAATAATATCACACAGGGACTAAATTATACAGTTCCAAAGAAATAATGTAAGTACTTAAATATATTACACAAGAGCTTTGGTGGCTTAGTGGTAAGGAATTTCTCTGCCAACCCAAAGGCTCACAATTTGGATCTACCAGCAGCTCCTTGGGAGAAAGATGGGCAATCAACTCTTGTGAAAGTGTCCTGTTTCAGTCTATAAAAGTAAATTATAGGCCCCAATCACTGAGCCGCCGCCGAGGACTCAGCTGCCTCCCCCTCAAGCCCCCTCGCTTCCCGACGCTCTGTCCCCCCTGCCCGCCTTCTCCCGCCACCGCCTTCCGCAGGCCGTTTCCACCGAGGAAAAGGAATCGTATCGTATGTCCACTATCCAGAACCTCCACTCTTTCGACCCCTTTGCTGTTGCAAGTAAGGGTGATGACCTGCTTCCTGCTGGGACTGAGGATTATATCCATATAAGAATTCAACAGAGAAACGGCAGGAAGACCCTTACAACTGTCCAAGGGGTTGCTGATGATTACGATAAAAAGAAACTCACTAGTTTAGAAGTTTGCCTGCAATGGTACTGTAATTGAGCATCGAGAATATGGAGAAGTAATACAGCTACAGGGTGACCAGCGCAAGAACATATGCCAGTTCCTTGTAGAGACTGGACTGGCTAAGGACGACCAGCTGAAGGTTCATGGGTTTTAAGTGCTTGTGGCTCACTGAAACTTAAGTGAGGATTTCCTTGCAATGAGTAGAAATTTTCCCTTCTGTCCCTTGTCACAAGTTTAAAACGTCACAGCTTGTATAATGTAACCATTTGGGGTCCACTTTTAACTTGGACTAGTGTAACACTTTCATGCAATAAACTGAAAAGAGCCATGCAAAAAAAAAAAAGGAAATTATAATAATTTCTACTGGATTTTTCTTGACAGTGTTGATATTTCAGTAAACTACTACCGCAAAATATTTTTTTAAATTTTTAACTCACCTCATAGCCAACCAACACAGGTTATTTTCCCTCTTGTGCTAAGTAGATAGTATACAGGATCAAAAGTTTTATTGTTATTTATGTTTTTACATACTTTTGTACACAAACTAATAAAACATTTTATTTGTTTTTTTTCTGGCTTGCAAAATGATGAGATTTAATTGTACATATTGTTTGAAAATTGGAGGAAGAAATTATGCTAGGGTTACTTGTTTTTATTATCTTTTCTTTTTAAAGCCTATCGGGAACCTGATTATTCATATGAGATGTCTGCACGTTTTACCACAATGTCCTGTGATGGAATAAATAGCGACCTGTTTCTTAGGGTCCTGACGAAAGTCTTGGATCATTTAATTTCTAATTTGGCATGCCATGTCATAGAACCATCGTATAAATGTCATGTTAAAATTCCAAAAGATGGCCTTATTAATGAGTTATTTATAACCTTTAAAGGTAAAATTTTAATTTTTTTCTTATTTTTCTGAGTATCTTAGTCCTGACCCATGATAGATGACAAAATTTATTTCTTTATTATTGTGAGGTGTTTTTAAGTTGTTAGGTGCCATCCAGTCAACTGTGACCCGCAGAGACCCTGTGAAGAACAGATCTGAACCTTGTCCAATCTGAGCTGTTCTTACAAGCTCAGATATGTGAGGAAACCATAGTCACTGTCAATCCATCTTGTTGAGGGTCTTCCTTTCTCTGACTCTCCAAATTTCCCGGGATGGGGCAGAATGAAGTGCTTTTCCAAAGGCTGGCCACTTCTGACAACATGCTCAGAGTGTTTGAAATGAAGTTTCTTCATCCTTGCTTCGAATTTGCAGCCAGTTGTCCTCCCTCCAAGAAAGACTTGGTTTCTTTGGCAATCCCTGGTAGTCAGTACTCTTCTATAAAGTGATGATTAAAAGCCATCAGTTCTTCGGTCATCCTTATTCATTGTCCAACTTTCAGATGAAGGGAAAGTAATTAAAAAGACCATAGCTTGTATCAAGTACACATAAGTCCTTAAGCTGACATTGTTTCTCTTTAGCACTTTGGAGAGTTCCTTGCAGCAAATTGCCCAGAGCAATACATCTTGTGATTTCTTGACTGCTGATATGTAGCTGTTGATTGTGGATCCAAGTAAAAGGAAATAATGACATCTTCAATCTTTTCTCCACCTATCGTGAGACTTTGATCTTCTGCAGCAAGCACTTCAAGTTTTCATTACTCTCTGCAAGCAAAGTTGCGAAATCTTCAATCCTGATACCACATCTGTTTTCGTATAGTCTACTTTCTCAAAGAATTTGCTCAGCATACAGAGTTGATAGTTACGGATAAAGGATACAACCCTGATGCACATCTTTCCTAATTTGAAACTATGCAATATTTTCTTATTCTGTATTTTGGTCTAGGTATAGTTTTCAAATGAGTACAATTAAGTATTCTGGAATTTACAGTCTTCTCAATGTTAGCTATAATATATTATGGTCCAGTTTAATACTTTTGCATAATCAATAAAACACACATAAACTTGTTTCTTGTATTCTCTACTTTCAGCCAAGATACATCTAACATCAGTAGTGATATCCTTTGTGCCAGTCCTATTCTGAATCCAGCTTGAGTTTCTGGCAGTTCCCTGTTGTACTGTTCTAGCTGCTTTTGCATTATCTTCAACAAGAGTTTGTTTACACATGATATTAAGGATATTGTTGTTTTATAATTTCCACATGGGAACAAATACGTATCTCCGCCAGTTAGTTGGCCTGGTTATTGTTTACCAGATTTCTTGGCATAGACTAGTGAGCAGATCCAGGGCTGTACCTGTTTGTTGAAATTTGTAAACTGGTACCCTATTAATTGTTGTTGTTATAATCGATTCCTGTCGAGCACGATTCCTAGTGACCCTATGAACAAAAGACCTAAAGCCTTTCTATAACTTTCATTGTTTCTCAGAGTTCATCGAGTTTCCAGAGGCATGTTGTTTAGGTAGTGGATGCCACTCCTGCTTCCAACCCTATTGATTACTGGGGCTTTAAATTTTTTGCCAGTGCCTTCAGTGAAGCTTGATTGCATGTTTAATAAATTTCAGACTGCAGAAATTGGTAGAAGTCCTCAATTTCTTGATTTTTGGCTGTAGTCGTTGGTGTGTATATTTGAATAGTGGTAGTAACAGGTCTTTCTTATATTATGAGTTGCAAGCAACCTGACGGCACATAACAACAACAACTTATATTTGTATAGATGGTATCCTAGCACTCATGGCATTGTTCTGTGGGATAAAGCTTGAAATGTTCTTTTTTTCCCCCACTTGTGCCCTTCCCAGGGCAGGTTTATTGATGTCTCTGAAATGTTCTTTTTTACTATGAATATAGCACTATTCTTAAATTTTTCATTCCTGGTATCCTTAAATATTTATTAATATTGTTGGTCTTAGCCTGGTTATGGTTTTAAAAATTAACACACTGATTATTACTTTAAAAATATCTTGTTTTTCTCTTGGAAGTCATCATCATTTTATAAAATAGAAGTTTTAATTATGCAACTACTGTTTCACATAGAATTTGTGGAATTTTAAGAACTTAGTAAAAGAGGGGGGAAAACTATTTCTGTGTATTCTATATTGTTGTAGTTCCTTCCAGTAGCCCCCAGATGGAGTGAAATGATAAGGTATAAATTATTCCAATTGAGCACTTTACATTTTTACTCAAAACCCCATTGCTGTCACATTGGTTCTAACTCATAGTGATCCTTTATTGGGTTCCAAGACTGTCAGTCACAATGGGAGGTGATTGCACATTTTCTTCTTGTGGATTCATTGGTGAATTGGAACCGCCAGAGACACCTGGCCTTTGGTAACAGCACAACTCACGGTGGTCTGAAGTCAGAGAAATTAACTGCATACACACATGCATACTGAAATCAGAGCACAGACTTTATTGAAATGTGTAGAACATTTTTAGAAGCCTTTTATGAACCTCTCATTTCCCCCCCTCCAGTTAATCCTTTTGCACCAGGATGGAAAGCTACATGCAACCAGTCTGTTGACTGTGAAGATTTCACGAATTACCATATCCTCCAGGTAAGAATGTCAATATAAAGTGAAAGAATTTTAGCAAATTATCAATCTGATAACAATGGGTTTATTGCAAAGAACCTTTAGCAAATTATAAAGGATTTTTTAAACTTTTATATATTATTCATTTTATTGAAAACTGTCCTTAAAAGTCTGTTTCTCCACACTGTGAATCTTTTTTTTTTTAGCAACCAGATTTAAATTAGAAAAATTTCGATATATCCACCAGATGCTCTGCTGAAGAAGGAGGAACAATCGCCTCCTGTACCAGTCAGATACAATTTGACGGTACACACATAAAATAAATAAATAAAAATTTTTAAAAAAAAAAGAAAAATTTCGATATAAAGCTTTGTTGGTTTTTGGTTTCAGCTTTTTAAACTTTGTGAGATTCTTGACTGTTCCAAAATGTGTTGTTTTGGAATAATAAATCCAAGGTATTGTTGTTGTTATTGTTGACTGCTGTCAAGTCGAGCATGACTCTTAGCAACCCTATGAATGAACAGAAGGCCTGAAGTCTTTCTATCACTGTCGTCATTTATCAAAGTTCATGGAGTTTTCAGAGGCATGTTGTTTAGGAAGTGGATGCCACTCCTGCCTCCAAGCTGGGATATGTACAGATACTATGAACAGACCACAGATTACAACTGAAATCCATTCCTAAGTGTATCTTTAAATCTAATTTGTAGGTAAGTTGGATCAAGTGCGTATGGTTTTATTTAATCTTTCTTCAATATAAGAAAAGGGGCCCTGGTGACATAGTACACAGTGGCCTGGCTGCTAATCCAAAGGCTGTGCATCTCTGGTGGTTCAAGAAGGGCAGTCTTCCCCCAGTTCCCACAATGTGTTCCTGTTATTATGTGCTATCAAGTAAACTATGACTCATAGTGACCCTGTTAAGAATAGGCCAAAACTTTACCTGTACCGTCCTGACAATTTCCACCAGACTCAAGCCCATTGTTAGTCACTTTGTTAATCCATCTCTTTGAGGGTCTTCCTCTCTTTCTCTGACCATATACCTTTCCCAGCATAATATGTTTTTCCAAAGACTGGACCTTCCTGACAAAATGCTCAAAATAACATTTTGCCATCTTTGCCTCTAAAGGGCAGCCTAGTTGTACTTCCTTCAAGACAGACTTTTTTATTGTTCTGGCAGTTCATAAAATATTCTGTTCTCTTCTCCAACACCACAATCCAAAGACACGGATGATAATTATTCATTATTCATTATTCAACTTTAAGATGTATAGGAGGCAATTGCAAATATCGTGGCTTACATCCTGTGCACCTTAGTCCTTAAACTGACATCCTTGCTCTTTGGCACTTTGGAGAGGGCCTGAACAGCAGATTTTCCCATTGTCTTTTGATTTCTTGACTGCTGCTGCTATGGGTGTTGACTGTGGATGTGAGGAAAATTAAGTTCTTGATGATTTCCAATGGAGGGTTATTATGAGTTGGAACCAAGTCAATGCAGTGAGTTGTTTAGTACAAGAAGACGAGCTTGGTGTTATTAATGCAGAAAGTATCGAGCTGCTAACTGAAGGGTCATTAGTTGGAACACATCAGCTGCTCCGCAAGGAAAAGATGAGCAGTCTCCTCATATTTCCGTTTACAGCCTTGAAAATCAATCTCATAGCAGTGAGTTTAGTGCAAAAAACCTTTGTTGTTGTTGTTAAGTGCCGTCGAGTCGCAGGCGACTCATAGCGACCCTATGAAGGAGAGTCCTCGACGCTTGGGTGCCTCTCATCCTCTCTCCAGGTTCATAGGGTTTCCAGAGGCAAGCTATTATGGAAGTGGATGCCACTCCTCCTTCCACGCTTGTTTAATCGGGGAAAACCTTTAGTTTGCATTTTTTTCAGTGGTTTAAAAGCTTTGTGTACAACAAAGGCAAGTTCAGTCCTTTTCAAGTGAGGGAAAATTTACATAACCTTAAATGGTTAATACAAGTAGTCTTTAAATCAGCTGTTTGTAGTCTAAGCACTTACTGTAATTTACCCAGATTATTTTTATTTTGTAATTAAGGCATGTTATTAGTGTGCCATCCTAACAAGATCTGGTGTGTTAAGCCCATTTTTTCAGTAACTGTGTCAATGCATCTTGTTGAAGGTCTTTCTTTCCTTTGCTGACCTTCCTCCACCCCCTGCTAGGCCACCAGAGCTCCCTTCCAAAATCTGTAGTGGTCAGAGTAGTTGTGTCATTTCCAGAAGCTAAGAACATGGTCTGAAAAATTGCATTACTCTCTTGGTCTAGTGGTGCCTGATCCCATACCACTCGTTATATGGATAGCATCCACTTAATGTTATTAAGCTGAATGATCAAAAGCTAAAATGCTGTGCATAATTAGTTTGAAATGCTAGTTAGATGGTAATCTGAGTTTCTCTTTGCTTGGCTCTTTTTTCCTTGACAATCACATACATTTAGAAATAATGACTTCTCAGTTAACTACACATGGAATAGGCAATTCATCAATAATTCAAGGCAGTGTTTTAAAACAATCTGTTTCTTTTTTTTTCTTAGCCACTGTATATGTAAATTACCAATAATTGATATGGCCAAAGCTAGGCTACTTTTGGTTTTAAATATACAGCTCTTCAGGAAAGTTCTGTAAAACATAGTATGTTTATAGTACATTTCATTTTCACTGATGTAGAAAAAGAAATTTGATTCATGGTTTAATGATTGTACTTCTTTCTGATATTTTTAACTCTTAGGCAAGAGATCGAATAGAAGAATTTTTTCGAAACCTAGGAAATATTTTCCACCAAGGCCCTAATAAAACTGTACCAGCTATGCGTTTTATTGATCACAGTTTGCAAGTAGGACGTATGGATAGCTGTCGTCCAGGATTTGGAAAAAATGAAGCTGTACACAGTAATTGTGCTACCTGTTGTGGTAATTATAAAATAGAAATATCTACTTACTTACTTATTTAAATATAAATATATCTAATTAGTTAGATGATAGAGTCAAAAGAATAGATGCGTACTTAGGATAATATAATTGAATCTTTACAATAATTCTCTTAAAAATCACTTAACTAAAGAGAAATAAAAAGTCAAAGTCCCATTTATAAATTTAATTATCATAATGTGTATTAATTCTTCCTAATGCCCTTACGGGGAGCCTCTGGTGGCATAGTGATAAGCTGTGCTGCAATCCAAAGGCATACGGTTGAATCCACAAGCAGCTCTGGAGGAGATGGATGGGCAGTCTCCTATGTGATTCACAGCCTCTGAAAACCCACTGGAGAGTCAGCTATGAGTCAGTTCTGACTTGATGGCACATCACCACCACCACCACCACCACAATATCCTTACTGTATTTCGAAATATTTCTATAGTGTTTTGAGTTTAGGTCACAATAAAGAAGCAAACTTAGAATGGTCTTACCTAGAAAATACAGAATGAATAAAAGCTCATAAATGGGGTAATCAAGGGAGCGCTGGTGGCCTACTGGCAAGAAGCAGCACTGCAATCCCAGAGATAAACGGTTCGAATCCACCAGATGCTCTGCCGGAGAAGGAGGCGCCATCTCCTCCTGTACCAGTCAGATCTGATTTGACGGTACACAAACACACACACACACACACACACACACACACACACACACACACAATAATAAAAATTTTAAAAAAATAAATGGGGTAATCAGAGGATACTCAATAATGTTGATGTTAAAGAAAAAAGAATGAGGGATTTTACTTTCTCTTGTTTTACCATCATCAGATTCAAGAGTTTGAAACTTAACATGTAATCTCCCACAACTAGAAATAAAAATTAAGTGGTATTAAAGACAAATTTATACTATTGGTATAAAATGCCTATAACTGAAATTGTTATAATCTTTCCCATATTTTTTCTTCTACAGTTGTTTGTAACCCGGGCACTTATAGTCCTGATGCTGATGTTACTTGTCAGACTTGCGTTTCCATCCATGTCTATGGAGCTATATCTTGCCCATAAATTTCAACAAAAAGTCAGCAATATGGAGACTAGAGATGAAAGTTCTATACTTGCTTATGGAGGAGGAGGATAACACAAGCTGATTGAAAGCGTTGTTTTAGAAAATAAAAAATAGTTGACATGGCATTTATAAGAGGACATTTAAGTCAATATCCCTTGTGTAATTAAAGTTTACATGTTTTGTTGCTTAAAAACAGAATCTAATTCTTGTTCTGTACCTAATATTCTATTAAGGTCACAAAGTGTAGCAAAGTATAATAAAAATTTTATGCTCCCTATATATTAATTTGTTTGAAATTATTTTTGCATGATAAAGGCTTATATATTACTTTGATACTTAGAACCAGAGGAAGTTATTTCTTTTGATCCTTTTGCTTTTAGAATTTTTTAAAAAACAATTTTGTAGAATTCTTTTTTAGTAGTTTTATAGATAGAAAATAATTGAGCCAGTAGTACATAGAGAGAGGTGGTGGTAAGGATTTGCACTGTCAACCCAAAGAACATCGTTTGAACCCACCAGCCACTCTGCAGGAGAAAGATGAGCAATCTCCTCTCATGCAGTTTACAGCCTCTGAAACCCACTAGAAGGTCAGCTATGAGTTGGTTCTGGCTTGATGGTACATAACAGCAACAATGACAACCCCATTTGTATACCCTCTTTCCCTACCAGATACACAGTTTTTTCTGTTAATAGCATCTGTATTAGTGTGGTACTTTTGTACTATTAATGAACAAATATAAATGTATTATTATCTGATATACTCCATAGTTTACATTAAAATTTGTTCTTTTTATTATGTCATTTGTTGAGTTTTAACAAATGCATACTAACATGTAGTCACTGTTAACAATTTTTTTTTATCAGGGTAAATATTATCTGTTGTGTGTTTTTTTGGTCATAAATTATCAGTTAATGAAAAAAAGTACAAAATCTCAAATTCATATGTATATATTTGTGTTTTATATGATACCTCAATGCTTAAGTAAAAGAGTTGTATATAACTTTTGAGTTTACACACTTTTTTTAGCATTTTTCATGGGCATTATTAACTTCAAACATTATAATGATGCTAATAGTTATCCTGTAATTAATCCACGGTTGTACTGTGGTATGTTTTTCTCAGAAAACATACATTTTTCATTATTGTTGTTGCAGAACCATGAAAGCATTTTAAAAATGAATAATTCATTCTTTCTGATCCCCCAAAAAAGTCTATTCTGTAATAAAAATGTGAATAGTGTAAGATGACTGAACCTTAAGACCAAAGGAGGAAGGCAGCAACATTTGAAGATAATTTAGAACTTTGTTTTATTTTTCTCTTTTATTATTTTTTTAAAATGGATTTTCCTTTTCTTCTTTTTTAGCATGCAGTGTAGTTTTGTCCTTTACATATATATTTAGGTGAAGAACAGGGAATATTACCAAGTACAATTTATTTTACTTATTATAGCTGATGAGAACAAAGTAGAGGCTTAAAAAAATGGAGAAGTATGAAGGGAAAGGAAAAAAGGGGAGAGGGAGTTAAAGAAATAAGCAGACTTAAAATCAAACCAAAACAAACCCACCACCAAAAAAACCAAACCAAAACCAAATCCCTCAAACTTAATGCTATTGAGTCAGTTCCAGCTGCCAGTGACCTGATTCCTGAAGCTATAAATCACAGCAGGAAGGGATTGCCCATTGTTCTCCCTCAGCTTCTAGTGAATTGGAACTGCTGGACACACGCAGCCTTCTTGGTTAGCAGCACAGCTTGTTATGGACTACATCACCCAAGTTTTCTCAGATGGAGACCTTTGCTCTATAAGTATCAGCTATCCATTGCTTATAGAATAAAGCATACATTCTCAATTGAGGGAACGTTTCCCCCTAGCCGATGGAAATGAGTTTAAGAGAAGGGATCCTAGCTATTAATACGATCTGTGGTTCTCTAGAAAGTCACAGTACATGAAGAGTATATATGATATTAAAAATTCATGGAAATGGAGGCACTGCATGGGGAGTCTACAACAGTTCCAGGAGATTTTTTAAAAATTGAAAAGTGCTGGAATAAAGGGTCACACTCTTGAATTGGCTTTCAAAGTCTTCTACCTTTTGGTACTAAAGTTTTGTACAGTGAGGATGAATCTCTGTTTAGACAATTCTGTCAGCATAAAAATTTAAGTACACTGAGAAGTGGGTATGAGGCTATCCTAATTGCAAACTATAGCACTTCTCATTTTGAATTAGCAGAATTTTATAAAAATGAAAACTATTCTAAATATTTCAATAAAACTGTAAAGTGAAATGTCTGACCTCTTAAGAACAAAATACTCCCTTTGAGGTAAAGCAATAGCCGTATCCATCCTAGAGAGAAGGGTGCCTAAGAAGTTATATTAGTACCAGACTGTTTTGATAACCATGGCTCTGTGGTAGGTTTTGCTATCAGAAAGTATCAGTTTTCCTATTTTGTTTTTCTTCTTCAGTAGTGCTTTACTTATCCTTTCTGATGTTATATCAAACCTACTTTGACTTTTCTTCCCTATCCATAGAACATTATTTAAAATGTAGATTGTGATGAATTTGTGAATTCTTTCCCACCCAACTCCAGGAAGCTGTTTTTCTCCAGTTTTATTTTGGTTTTTATCTTCTTTTAGTCTTTAAATTACTGCCATATTTGCATCTTAATTTTTCTCAGTCTTGGCAAACTTCCCTTACCCAACAGCTCACTCATTTAATGTCTTTCCTCTTTTTATGCTTCATAAGCTTCAGTTAGGGAGCTTTGGTGGCCTAGTGGCAAGAAGCTGCACTCCAGTCCTGAAGGCACACGGTTCAAGGCCACCAGCTGCTCCACGGGAGAAGGATGGGAAATCTGCCTCTGAAAATCCACTGACGGGCCAGCTATGGGTTGGTTCTGACTCCAAAGTATACAACAACATCAAGAAGCTTCATTTGTCCCTCTGAAGGGAGATCATAGATAAACTGATAGATTAGTATGATACCTTTAGCTCCAAGAGGAGAAAAATGCTTAGCAATCCAAATCGAAACTTGATCTCAAGAAAAAAAATTTTATTTTGTGTGTGTACTGACTGTCAAATCGGATCTGATTGGTATAGGAGGAGATTGCCCCTCCTTTTCCAGCAGAGCATCTGGTGAATTTGAACCATGTACCTCTGGGATTGCAGTGCAGCTTCTTGCCACTAGGCCAGCAGAGCTCCTCAAGAAAAAATATTTTAAAAGTTACATTAATGGGAGAGCATACTTATATCACAGGTTATGCACACATCAGTGGCCTAAAGTAGAAATCTTTTTTTGCATATTACAGACATGATTTTTGTCAGTAACATTCTTCAGAACTGAACTTTCAGTAAAGAATTCAGCTGAAGCTTTCAAGAAGTAATTTAACTTCAGACAACTGTGGCACAATGGTGAAGTATGTAGCCCTGAAGGCCCCTGAGGCTGCAGAAATATGATTAGCCCAAGTACAATTTCAAATGATTGTTGATTTTGAAAACTGCTAGAAATGGATTTTACTGTAAGGTGAAGTTTAGATAAACAAATACTACGTTGTCATCCCAGGAGGTGCATCGACATCTGGCATTAGAATCTGGAAGTAAATAAGGAGAAATGAAAATGTTTGGAAGACAAAGAAGAAAACAGGAGGCAAAAAGGAGAAAACTCTGAGTTTAAGGACCAGTCATAGAAAAGAAGGGGTTACGAACAGTGCAGAAAAGAGAAAGACACACTTGAGTTCAAATGAGGTTGAAACCCTTGCCTTACAGCTATGAGTTACACAGCTTTGTCTGGACAGCTCTCATTTAGATTCCTGGATCCTCCCTCATTCCTGAAGAAGTCAGCTGAAGTCTGAAATTTAAAGGAAGGTCTAAATTGAGGGTGGAGGTGTGAACATATGCTTCCCTCCTCTATAAACTAGCTCTGAGTTTTTCATATCCATGGTTGTTAAGTATTTTCCAAAGCATGGCTCCCATGAATGACAGAAACCAAGACATCTACAGTCTATACTGGAAAGACCCTGTCTAAAGAATTGTCTTTTTTTTAAATTCTTTTGTGTGCATACCGTCAAATTGGATCCGACGGTACAGGAGGAGATTGCCCCTCCTTCTCCAGTAGAGCATCTGGCAGGTTTGAACCATGGGCCTCTGGGATTGTAGTACAGCCTCTTGCTACTAGGCCACCAGAGCTCCCCAAGAATTCTTGTCTCACTCCATTACTTTCTAGTGGATTTTATGTTTGGATACTGACAGAAGTCAGTGGTTTTAATCTACAAGGTGAGTCAGAATAGATTCATGGCATTGGATTTGGGTTTTTGGAACATCTTTGGCAAAGGCTACTTTCCCCTCTCTGCTGTGGGAGAATGAATATTAGCTTCACTTCTCTTATGAAGGAGTTTTGGTGGCCTAGTACATAGGGTATTGTGCTGCCAATTCAAAGGCAGGCAGTTCAAATTCACCAGCTGCTCCTCAAGAGAAAATGAGCAGTCCCTTCCTATGTGATTTACAGCCTCTGAAAACCTGCTGGAGGGTCAGGTAGGAACTAATTCTGATTTGACAGCAATGAATATGTTGTAAACGATAATGTTTTAAAGTATAATGAAAAATACATCAAACATAAAGGTATAGCTTAAAAGATAATTGCAAAATTAATACCCAAGCTACCATCTACCAAGGTCAAGAAATAAAATACGGCTAACATCTTAGAAACACCTACTTCTTTCCTACATGTGTTGCCCTGATAACAACATAATTCCTCTTACAAAGAAGCTGGTTTTTCAACATTAATTTTCTTGCTTTGTTTCAGAGTTTTACCACGAAAGTATAGATTACTATACAATAGAGTTTCTGCATTTATTTTTACCTTTTACAGAAATAATAATTTTGAATATATTATTTTGTGTCTTCATTCTTTCAAAGAGTGAATTTCATGTAGCTTTAGTTCATTTACTCCCATTGTTATAATTCATGTAATCGTTGATTGGCATTGAAGCAGATTCCTATTTTTGGCT